CCCCAAAACCCCAAAACCCCAAAACCCCTTATTGTTGGAGATTTGCTGAAATTCTTAATTGTCTATAGTCTAGCTATCAAGATGCTCAATAATCTCATCATCTTTAAAGATAGCCTTAATTTTACTTCCTCCATTTGAATCTATTCTACCATCTAAAATATTGACCAATAAAAATCTTACCAGTTGCAGCAGTAAACAAAGTGCCAACTCCATTAAGTTTCCCATCTTTAAATTCTCCCTTATAAACAGTCCCATTGGCAAACTCGAGAGTTCCTTTTCCATCGTATTTATCGTTCTTGAACATCCCTAAAGTAAGGTTACTTTCTTCCACATCCCACTGAGTCTTACCTCAGTATTTACTTCCATCAGGAGTGGTTTCCTCACCCTTCCCATGCTTATTTGCCCTTCAGCCACTTTCCTTGGTAAATACTTCCCTTTTTGTTTATGAATTTTCCTAGAGGTTGATTTTAGAGCATACCTTTTCCGTGAAACTTATTGTTCTCGAAAGACCCTGTATATTCACTACCGTCTTTCAGTGTTAGGGTACCCTCTCCTTCAAAAGCTCCATTTTTCAACTGACCTTTATAACGTCCTCCAGGTACGGATATCTCAGTGAATCCATCATTTTTAGGTGATGAACCATCAACTACGTCATCCCAAGTAAGGTTGTCTCACATTGTTGCTCCTTTCTTCGAGCTGTGCTTCTTTTGAATAGCTATACATTGAGTTGGTTATTAGAAATCCAAAAATTTCATAATTTCTGGCATAAAAAATTCACACAAAAAGAATTTTAAAGTACCTTGAGCCTGAGGACTAAGGCATCCAATCTGCCCATCACTATCATCACTTGATATAGAACTAACAGAGCCATCATCACATTGCATATTGTTATTCATCTTTCCTCTCCCATTATTCAATATTGTCATCGCCTTCTTTAACGAAGTGGCTGCTCTCTTAATATCCAAGGTATCTTCGCCCTCAAGCCCACCTACATCTCCTCTAGATTTTCCCTTCTTCTTCCTAATCTTCTGCTTCTCTGATTTAACTCTCTTTCTTCCAAGTACTAATTCTTGGTCTCTTTCACGTTCTTGCTCTACGCTTTCTGAACAGCCCATTTACCTCTAATGACTTTGATTCTACAGAAATGGATTTATACAACATAAGCAATCTAACATTCTTCTCTAGAAGGTAACAATAAATACTAAAGAAACGCACAGCCAAATAGGCATGCAACCAAAGAAATTTTGAACACACATCAGCTCAAAATGCTATTATTAATGTCAAGAATCAGGCTACCTATGACAACACGAGTTTAGCCAACGAACCAAGAAGGGACTCTGACTCTCACCGGAAGGCCAAGAGATGCCAATGGGAAAATTTAGTAACCAAAGTGACCAAGTTGCTTACTTTTAGGTTTTAAATTTGGTTAATTCAATTACGGTAGCAATAAATGGGGTTTTGGGGTTTTGGGGTTTTGGGGTTTTGGGGTTTTGGGG